GAGGTGGAGTTGGGTATAAAGGATGGGCATCTATACTGTAACACACACAGGCAGAGCACAGTGCCACCAGTATAATGGAAACTCTGGTTTTTAGGCAGTGTTGACGATGAGCATCCAGACTGCTGACGTGCAAAACAAATCTACAGCCAGAACTGCAATTGTAACTTCACCCTGACCTTTGATCCTTTATAACTGCCCTTCAGAAATAATAATAATAAAAAAAGAAAGACTATTCAAACCAACAAATAGATTTTTTTTTTTTTGAAAGAGCGTGATGTGGTTTTGTTGCCTTGAGCACAGGCACTCAGATACACACAGGGAGACATCTCCTTTTGGGAAACATGGACGCTGACATTGCTGTGAGCCAAATACTGTGCTGTGTGTGTCAAAGGTTATCCGACCTAACCTGCCCTGACATTTTGCTTACCGCAGGGCTGTTCAGCTGGGTAATTGTCTCAGACCAGGAACCGTTAAATTATAAGCAACTTAAAATTGCTTTCGCTTTAATAACTGTTATTCTTAAGGTCAAGCACAGCCGCATCAATATTTATGAGGATAAACACGCAAAAAAAACTCTCGGTGGAGAAATTACCCTGAAACACCCGGAAAATGCTCAACGTGAAGCTGCACAATAGATAATGACTGTAAGATTTGGGGCTTTTAAGATAATGTATTATTTGGTCCGTCAGAGCAAACAGATGCACAAAAGCACAACGTAGCCTTGTTTTGCATAGTGGAAATAATTACATGGACATGCAGGAATGTAATGATGAAATAACTGTCTCAGATGCTGCTCTTATTATATATGGCAGTCAAGGCAGGGGCTTAGTTGGAGTGGCACATTAAATAAAATTTTTGGACAATGTTTGACTGCGAGGCTGCTCACTCAGCAGGGGAGCTTCTTTTGGTTCTGCTGATCTAAATACATTCTTTACTCAGACTGATGGACTTAGCCATTTTTGCTGTAAGAAACTTTTACCTCGTCATCAGTTTATGTTTTAAACTGCATTGCATATTGCTTGTAAAAATATTAGATTTGAGAAGAAACTGGTGTTCAGTGTACAATGATGTGATACTATTAACTTATTTAACATAATAGAAATTGTAAAAGTAAAAGACTGCACAGGTTTCATATAGAAATCTACAAATAATTTTCCTTGTGTAAATAATGCATAAATAACACATAATACAATCAGTCACATCATTAAGCACAACTGTTCAACTGCTTGTTAGGGCAAATATCTAGCCAGCCAATTCATTAGCAGCAACTCAAAGCATTTTGTGCAGACATGTTCAAGACAACCTGCTGAAGGTTAAACTGAGCATCAGAATAGGGATTAATAAAGGGGATTTTGAATGTGACATGGTGCTGGTGAAAGACGGGCTGATTTGAATTGTTCAGAAATTCATCTCTACAGTTTTACAGATAATGGTGGGAAAAAGAGAAAGTATCCATTGTGCAGTAGTTCTCTAAAGGAAATGAGAAGAATGGCCAGAGTGGTTTGAGCTGATAGGAAGGCAACAGAAACTTAAATACCACTCGCTGTAACCAGGGTATGCAGAAGAGCATCTCTAAATGAACCTCGAAGCAGATGAGCTGTAGCAGCAGAAGACCACACCTGTAGCCACCTCTGTCAGCTAAAAACAGGAAACTAAGGCTGCACTTCACACAGGGTCACAAAAACTGGATCATAAGACTGGAAAAACACTGCCTGGTCTGATGAGTGCTGATTCTGCTGGAGCATTCAGATGGTAGGGTCAGACTTTGACATAAACGACATGAAAATATGGATTCATCCTGCCTTGTATCAAAGTTTCAGGCTGGCAGTGGTGATGTAATGGTGTGGGGAATATTTTCTTGGCATAGTTTGGTCCCTTAATACTACCTGAGCATAATTTGAACTCCACAGTCTACCTGATTATTGATGCTGACCATGTCTATTTCTTTATGACCACAGCGTACCCATTTTCTGACTTTCTTCTTCCAGAGGATAACGCACCATCTCACAACTCTCTAATTGGTTCTTGAACATGACGATGAGTTCACTGTACTCAGAGGGTCTCCACAGTCATCAGATCGCAGTCAAATGAGCACCTTTGGGATGCCGTAGAACGTCAGATTCTCATCATGGATGTGCAGCTGCCACATCAATATGGACCAAAATATTCAAACAAGGTTTCCAGCAGCAGGGAGTCCAACCTGGAACTAGCAACGTGTACCTATTGAAGTGGCTGATGAGCTAATATAAACTGTAATTGGTGAGTCAAGCCAAGGGTTATGTTTTCATGAAGAGTATTTTTTTTTGTGATCTAATTGAACTTCTTTGACTTTATTTTCAATATTGTACAGTTAGTAAATGATGTAGCAGGTTTAATTGATGGTCTGTTGTCTTTGTGTAACTGCACATTTAGTGATGATGTGTTGGCTGATTTAAACTGAGACCTGCTACTTTTTACATGTTTCCTGCGCATGAAGATTCATTTTCAAATTTAACTGAATCTTGAGTTTGACTTGACTTAATTTTTTTAATCAATACAATTAATTTGCAGTAATTTAACATTAAAATAAGTCTTGTAAAAATAATTAAGAATCTTCTCCAGGCATATTTTAGGACTCCTAATACTGATTTTCCAGCAAAGCGAACTGGAGTATCACAAATCAGACTATTTTTTTCTTCCATCCTGAAAATATGAATGCAGGTTCCCTGTGTCTAAATTCTATCCAGTGAAGCTCAAACATCCAAGTGAAACCCACAAAAACAAACACTCTAATGAATGCTGCATGCACCAGACCGACGGCAGTTGGGGGCGACACAGAAGAGAGACTGCAGGTGCACGACCCACAATGCCACTTGTTTTAAGATGCTCTTTTCTGGAACAAGAGACCAGCTGCTTACAAGTCCTTAATTAGAAAGCAAGTTCAAGTGTTTTCTCTTTAGTCGACCATCTTTTTCTCCGAGTCCAAAGTGTTCGAGCATCATCCATGTCAAGTGGCAGGACCCTGTCACCCGGGCAACAGGAAGGAAGCTATTTTGAGCAGTGGGCACTCTGCCACTCCTGTAGGAGCCACAGCCTTATGGCAGGGATGAGAATGAGTTGGGGAAAAAAATTTTTAGATGCACGTCTCGCTAATGGCTACATGTTTTTATTGATTTATCTTTTATTCTGAATGAACGTTACACACTCAAAACCGGCACTACGGTATATATAAACAAATGACAAATTAAAGGAAAACCTGAACACTTAACTAACAGCAAGGGCATCTGGTGGGTTAGTTAACCCATGGGAGGTATCCTCTTGTGTGGTTTGGGTTCACTTAGAGGAAGGGTGATCATAAATAAGGCCTGGGGATTAGATTCAGCCCAACACAGACTTCATTCTGGTTCACTGAACGGCTTTGGAAAATGTGAAGTGCATAAAGTTTGGACTTTTAACCATATTTTCATACGTTTCACAGCTCTGGCTACTGATAAAGTCCTTTCCTATGGCTATTCATACTATTTTAAAGTAAATTAGAGACGTGCTGTGGAAATTGCACTTCTTTTTCTTATTTTTATACATCTCAGGGATTAAAGTTGTAGCTAAACTTCTTCACGCTCACAGAAAGGGAAGTTTCACTGATCCAGCCCACTTAAGATCAAAATGAGCTGTATGTGGCTGCTGACTTAGAAAGAAGTGTCAAATCAATACAAAGTTGTTGTACTCTCAGCAAGTAAGGAAATATCTATTAAATGAGAAAAATCTATAGGGCGACTGTAAGACTTGTAGAATTAAAGCTAATGAACAATGAGGTTGATCTGAGGGCACTCAGTGGTTCACCATCCTACTAAGACAATATTTCTCCTTTAATTTGTCACCTGTTTACTGTCATTTGTATTTTATTCTGAAGTTTTAGAAGTGGGCTCAGCTCCAGATCTAATGGCTGTACGACCAAAATACAACAAGTAAATGTGGAAGAGTCCTATGACACCCTGAAGCACCCTAAAGAGCACTGAATGTTTCTCAACATTACTGTCAACATTGAAATGTTTAGCTCAAGGGCACACAGGGGCCTGTCTGACCTCCTGGCCCTCCAGCTGAACTGTGCAATAGTCACATCATCTCTAGACTGAGTGCGAATCCTCTCGGCTCACAAAACTCCACTTTTGTATTTTCAGCTCCTTTAGTGCCCAGATACAAGAACAATTCGCGACGAGGTGAGTGCAAGTGTGCTTTAAGAAATTGAGAGATATCTCATTAGAATACCCGGCTCGCAAATTGAAGCTATAATTGCATACCCTGCACATCACTTACACGGTAATGTCTCCCATTTCACTGTGTTTATATTTCCCCAAGTGGAACGGAGACCGAGCTCTAAGAATCACAGCGAGCCATCCGTTCAATCTGGCTGCTGAAACCAGGCGAGGGAGGACAGGCTGAATCGACAAACAAACAAAACACAGACGTCCCCGTGGCATTTATTTACAACGAGCCGCAACCTCCCCTGAGAGGGGCACAAGGTGCAAAACAAGAGGCACGAGCTAAGCAAAAATGGCAGTGCTGCCTAATGGCTGCTCGGCTACTGTGAGGCTAAATGTGTGAAACAAATGTGAGATGTTGAGTGCAAGAAAACTTTTTCTTTTTTTTTTTTATTCAAGTGGAACCAGCAGCAGATGCTATTTTAGTCAGGACATTTGTACTGATTGTGATGACCTGAGAAGAGCTGAATCCAAGTTCTGCCCAAGTTTAAAGCAGAGGACAAATTTTAATTCAGGCAGTGGGGTCTCTCACAGTGAAAACACAGCACAGGAGTCTGTATTTGATTTGATGCAAGCCACAAAACTTCCATTACTTTAGTTTATTAGCTGTATTTTAAAAACTGACAAGAAAAGAGGAGACAAATGACCACACAACAGATTTAAATGAGGCAAAGTCCAAGTCAGCAACCTAAACCACCAGGTTTTTTTTTTTTTCACTGAGTGAGGATTTATCAGAGAAGCTCAGCCTCACAGGACACTTACGTGTGCCATCGAAGCGTGTGGCGATGGTGTCTAGAAAGGTGTTCTGTGGGGCCAGGAGGCCCTTCATCACCGGCATCTTGACCCCGATTTAGGAAGGTCACCTGCTAGCTTGAGGTCACACCATCCCAAAGGCACAGCAGGTAGCTTCCAGGGAGTCTCAGCAGGTGCGTGAGACTTTGAGGGTGACTCTCTGGCACCAGCCGCAGGGATGCACATTTACAGTAAATGCTGCCACCCTTCCCCGAGCGATGCCTTCTCAGTAAATCAACAGCGTGGCTTTGGGAGGACTAAAATAGCTCACTCCAACAATGCAGAGGTTTGGGTGCAGTCTCGAAAAGGAGAAATTAAGAGTCACGGTCACGAGCAGCTGAAGAAGGGATCAAGTGCAACTGACTCTGAGATCCAAAGAGCTTCAAAACAGTGAGCCCAGCTGTTGCTTGTCTGCACCTTTCAGTCGGAGCGCCGATCCCGGCAGCAGTGTGGAGGAAGTTATCCTCCAAGTGCGCTGCGCTTTCCATTTAAAAGAGGACCGCAAATCTGTGCGACGAAAAATAACAGCATGTGTCTACACCTCTTTTCAGTGATGCTCAGTGATGTGTCAGGATGCTGTGGGGGAGTAGTTGCATCTTCTTGAGCGTTCTCCCCTCCTCGCTACTCTCCCTCTCCCTCACTCCTGCTCCCATCCGCGCCGGTGATATATCAGCCAATGAGATACAGGCATCCTCTGTAGGGACCTGTTTTCATCTGTGGTGTGGGTATAGAGAGAGAGAGGGGGAGAAAGAGAGTAAGGGAAGAAAGGGAGAGGTAGAGGAAAGAGGGAGGGGTGAGGCTTTGGGAGCATCTGACAGCACCATCACACCCAGCAGTGGTACTATCAGCACATGGCTTTTGTGGGCATGTCTGCAAAGCAAGGAAAGATGGATTACCTGCACATCGGTTAACGAAGCCTTTTGTATTCTGTTGGACTGTGTGCTGTATTGTCAAAGGAGCCTGGCTAAAGGGAGACTGTCAAAGTCCTCTAATTTATTTATTTTATCCAAGTTGCAGAGTAAAGGAGGCACAGCTTCAAAACACCGTTCCTAGAGGGGTTTTTTTTTGTTGTTAATTTCCATCTTGACTATTAAAAATGAGGCTGGTTGCCTTTGCCCTGTCACCCCCTGTGGAGTATCCATGAGCGAGTTAAGACTCTGGGATAAAAGCCGCTAAGAGCGGATTAAAAGGATAAGCCTGGAGATGTTTTTCGTGACAACGCGATGCCAAAACCCCCAAACCTAACTCACTTTGACCCAAGAAAGCAATACGGCTTAGCCAACGAGGGGAAATACCTCTAGACAGTGAACTTTCTCATCGGGAAGATAAATCATCTCCCCTCCGTGTTCGAAGAATCCTGTCAAAATCAATCTCATTAAAATTGTAGTAATCGGGGAAAGACGATCCATTGCTATTAATTAATGTGATCAATATTAAATGTTGAACCTGAAACCTAATATTAGGGGTTATTTGGGGGGTCATGCGGCTAATATTATAAGCCTGTATTATTGTATTTTGATCGGTATGTTATTAATTTAGAAGGAGGTTTTCAGCATTTTTACTTAACTAGCACATTCATCAGTACATTTTAAATCACTGGTATATGTATGAGGTGCTGAATGAAAACCTACAGTTGCTTTGTTTTGTCAAGAAGTAAGAGAAAGACCTAGAATAAATCCTACAATCCTCCATATTCCAATTAGAAGTCAATAGGCCTCAAGAATGTTTTATTATGGCTGTTTTGTGACTCAAAAGACGTACAACACACACGATAATACCCACTAATATAGCAAAATAAGATAAAAAGAATGAGATCTTCCCTACATATTTTCTGTTCCATCCATCAAATGTGTCTCTATGCAGATTGGGAGTCAAGTAAACAAAAATGATGAGGAAAGAAATATAATAGAAATTTCTTGTGGGGGTTGGTAATCTTGGAAAGATTTAGCAGATTCAGCAGCAGTGTGGGTGTTTCCTCTCACCAGAAATTGCATTTTTAATCTTCTCAGTGAAAAAAAAAAGTACATTTGTTTTTATCTTGACTAACATTTCTGAAAGCAGCTGCAGACTTCTGAGAATAGCCACCTCAGAGAAGAGATGAAAGCTGTTACGTCCACCGAAGGTGGGTATTTTAGGGGATAATTAAACAAAACCACAAACACATTAAATGTTAATTGCTGGGAGCAGAGGTGAGCTGGATTTGGAGGAGAAACAAAACAGGTGGAGAAAAAAAAAAGACAGTGAAAGTAAAAGAGAAGCTTGGAGGCTTTTAAGAGAGGATTGTTTCCTCTCTCGGATCCTATTCAAGCCTTGGCAGCCATTCACTGTTTTCTATTTTTAATGACATCTCATTGTCCCTTCTTCTTGTAGTTCATCCGTCGCTGCTTGTCACTAATAAAGAGGCTAATACATTAAACATGCTCACGATCATCTCCTCGGTCTAATGTGACAGAGTGACGCACACAGGGTCAGGTGAAATATTATCCCCAACTACATTTCCCATAGTTCTCAGGGAACTGCTGGCGTGCTTGTAGAATTCACTTTGGCCCCTTAATTATGCACATAATAACATCTGAAAATCAATTCCTTGAATATTCTGCTGATTGAACTGACTGTAATTTACTAAACTTGAATGAAAATCCACAACCCTAATCCTGATTTAAATTGTATGCCAGATAAACTCAGCAGCCAGGCCGATTCACACATCCCGCAGCATCCCTTCTCTCACTTCAACACACTTCCCCCCTGCATCCCATTGAGAAGTCAAGCCTGCCTTTCTCAAATCTGTCTGTTTACAATGAATTAACTTGTGAGAGAACAGATGTGTGATCGCGGGCTCTGAGCGTTTGTGTGTCTGTAAATCCTCTGGGCGTATGAGGACGGCAGGCAGAGGAAGACACAAGCCATCTAACTAAACAACCAAGAAGAGATAGAAGGCAATCTGGAATGAATAAACAGCAAAGGGAAGAATGAAAGTACCTGCCAAGAAATACATTTTAATGTGAAACCACCCCAATAATGCTGTTCATATACACAACTGTGAAATACAAACAAACTAACCCTTTTTTTTTTTTTAGGTGGATACTTAAGAAAAAGGCCTGAAATCAAACTAGTGCCATATTGTTTTAAGTTCTTCCATGCAGTGCTGTTTGCCAGCTTTCTTAAGCCAAAATGTAACACTTGTATATACAGTTGAGGCATTATGAAGCCAAAATAAAGCGAGAACGATGTCAAATCTCTGCTGAAATGGGGCGTTTCTAAAAATATTAGCCCACTTTGTGAACGAATCGACCTGCAGGAGAGAAGCAGTCGGCTCAGACCGGGGTTTATTCAGACTCAGACTTTCTTTGAGGCTAAAGATGGCAACAGGAAAATCTCACAGAATCAAATAAGGATGTGAGGATTAGTCTAGTCAACATACATATAAATATGCGCTTTCTCCGTCTTCTTTGTCTGCTCCCCTTTTTTCCAAAACCTTGATTATTTATAAGAAGATGATATTAATTCAGATGTGAGCCCTCACAGTCAGAGCTATCAACAAGAATTCACTGCTTCAGTCAAGGCTGACAAGCAGTTAAATGCTGGACCTGTGGGAGATAGCATTATGCTGCATGTCTTAAATATTAGACTAGCTCCCTCTGGTGGTAACAACAAAGTCCTGACACTCCTATTGCACTATTGTTTATGATGTAACTGAAGAAATAAGCTGTACAGGTGGTGAACAATGTGAGCAGGCAGATACTGAAGGCTATCTTGATTTCATAAGCATCATCAGTTACAGTCTAGAGGCCAAGGATGCTTACCAGTAATCAGCTCTTCTGGTCTGATGGATCCACTTGACTCTAAGATGAAACTAGAAGCTGGCCAAATCTGCACAATCTGAAAGAGAACCACCTAAAAAACACGACTTCCACCAACAACCATATGATGTCAGATAATTAACTAAGCTAAAAATAGCATAATTACCTTCACCAGGACATGCTGTGACTGCTGTCTAACAATACTAAAGGGACCAAAAACACAAAATTCAGCCACATAACAGTAGCGTACTAGATTTAAATCTTGCCAAATGCTGCTTTAGTCATCACAGGTAATTTCACAAAACGGGATCATTAGATGGTGCAACATTTAGTAACAGATGGTATAAAATGAAAGCTTAAGCAACTCCATTAAAAAATGCAAGATATTAACAGCATGGTCTTTTGCTTTTCCTTTAACTGCCCAGAAAAAAAAAAACATTGGAGAAAAGTAAAGTGAAATTTATTGAGGAATGGCAACTGAAGCTTACATTTAAATACAGCTCAAAGATTTTCTCGTGCTGGCGTCACCAGAAAATTTCCACTGGAAATACTCGGGAAACTTCTAAATTGGGGGTTTTGTACAGATGAGACTTCTGGGATATTTTGTCAAAAGTCAAAAGTGCATTTTTATTGTTTAAAAATCAGAGTTAATGCATCGTGGTTAACATCTCCCACAGGCACACTTCATTAAGTCAGTCATAAATAAAAAACATCCAATATCATCAGTCTGTAAGTGATCTCAGGAAATCGTTTTGCCCAGAAGGAATTCAGCATATTCTTTCCTGCGCAGCACCCGCTGCATTTTGAACGTATTGGGTGAGGTGCTCGAGTACGCCATCATCTGCTTACGAAGTTTGTTAAACGCTCCCTCTGCCACCAGCTGCACTCTCATTGGCCCGATGCTGCCTTTGATACGGAAGGATTTGTAGACGGCCGAATCCTGCTGGAGAGAAATGTCCAGCTGGGAAGCAAGAGAGGAAACACCAAACAAAAAGACAAGGTAGAGTGATTTAATGACAGACTGTAAACATGCTGCCTGTTGGTGAACCTTCATTAGGATTTCTCTTACCTTATGTCGTTGTTCCTCTGTAAGCCTCCTCACACCTTTCAGCTCTAAGAACACCTGGTAGTGAGGGTCCGAGCCACCAATTGTATCTCCTGCAATGCCACAATAAATAAAATAAAATATGCTGCAAAGGGTTCAATAGTTTTCGCATCATATTCAACTTTCTTCTATGATTTAAGGGTATAAACAAGAACAAATATTACCCAAGATGCCGCTCTCAGCACAGCAGTAGTCAACCAGCTGAGCTCCTGGCCACTGAGCGACGGCCTTCTTCAAAGCACTGAGGAACAACGCTTCTGACACTTTCTCTCCTCGAACATTCAGCATCTGACCTCGTCTAATGGAGCATGGAAGCAAGGAGAAAGTATCGTGTCATGCTTTATATACACACACACACAGCATAAGAAAAACTGTACTGCTGTCCAGTGCTGTACCTGTACTGAAACTCCACGATGGGACACTGGTTGTGAAATCCAACAACTTTTACAATGTCTCCGATGCGATATCTGTAACAAGGGAAATATACAGGTAAATATGAGAGTTTGTTATAGTTGTAATATCACATTTTAATTGCAGTGATGGTCATACAGAGCCACCGGACAAATCTGATTTTACACTCATTAGCAACTTTGTTAAGTACACCTGTTCAACTGCTCATTAACACAAATATCTAATGAGCCACTCAGAAACTTGGTGCACACAGAGATGTAGCCATGGTCAAGATAACCCACTGAAGCTCATACCAGGTGTTAAAATGGGTCAGAAAGTTGATCTAAGTGACTAAATGTGGCATGGTTGTTGGTGTCTGCTGGGATTTCACCACACAATCATGTCTAGGGTTTCCAGAGAATGGCACGGAAAAGAGAAAATATCCAGTGAGCGGCAGATCTCTGGTAGAAATGCTTTGCTGATGTCAGAGCTCAAAGGAGAGTGGCCAGACTGAGTTGAGCCTATAGGAAGGCAACAGAAACTCAGATAATGACTTGTTGCAACCAAATTATCAAGAAGAGCATTTCTATAATCACAGTGCATTGAACTATGAAGCAGATGGGTACAGCAGCAGAAGACCACATCAGCTGCCACTCATACTCTGCAATATTCTTGATATTTATTTAGAATCACCTCTGTTAATTCTTGATATTTATAATTGAGTGATTTGTATATATTAGTGCTGTTTCTTAAATTTGTAAAATCTGTAACATACTGTATTGTTTAGTCTGTTACTGTTACCGACTTGGAGCAACTGTAATCCACATTTATTCCCACAAGTAATCTGATTCTGAAGAACAGGAAACTGAGGCTGTTATTCACATAGGGTCACCAAATTTGGACAAGATTGGAAAAAGTTGCCTAGAGTTTCATTTTTTGCTCTACCATTTGGAGAGAGGATCAGAATTTGGCATAAACAACATGAAAGCCTTGTTGTAACAATCGTTCAGGCAGATGGTGGTGGTAGCATAATGGTGTCAGGGATATTTTCTTTGTTTCCTTGGTACCAAGATCCTTTTAAACTCCACAGCCTCCAACTGAATAGTGATGCTGACCATGTCCATCCCTTTATGACCACAGTGTACCCATCTTCTGATGGTTGCTTCCGGTAGGATACCACACCATGTCACAAAGCTCAGTCAAGTCTCAAAATGGTTTCTTGACCAATGAGTTCATTGTACTCAGATGACCTCCACAGTCACAAAAGTCTCAGTCCAATAGAGCATTTGTGGAACGGGAGATTCCCATAATGTCAACACTGACCAAATTCTCTCTGGAATGTTTCCAGTACCGTGTTGAATCTTTGCTGTGAAGAATTAAGAAAAAAGGATGTCCAACCTAAAAGTAGTGAAGTGTACCTAATAAAGTGTTACATATCAAACATGAACACTTCCATTTGAGTCTTAAACAGATTTAGAACATGTTAAAATGCAGTGTGACCCATCACAATCATGAGGATGTAAACATACAGCTGCAGTTATTTATATTTGTTTGTAGATGAAATCGAACCTGTAAAGTCCTGAAGCATTTGTGACAAGCAGCTCATAGTTTTCTCCCTCCTTCACCTCCTCCATCAGCAGAGTGTGAGGGGCCTCCTCATCCAGGCTGCTCTCTGGGAGGAACTCGCAGAACATTGAGCGAGGGCACAGCAAGTAACGTCTTTCTGACTCCTGAGGCCACAGGTTCACCCCAATTAAACCTGCAGGGGCACAGATAATGAGAGCAAATGCTGACCTCATCCACATATAGAAACCATACAAATGCCCAACTGCAACGGTTTTTAATTAAACAGCTTAAAAATGTAAATGTACCTTCAGTAGCAGCATAGAAGGGCGAGTAGAAAGGCACTCCTTTGCAGTAACTCTCCCTCAACATTTCACCGTAGATCTGATTGGAGCCTGAGTCCACTGCCAGGACCAGGTTCAGATGAGGCCACAGGCGCTTGGCAATCCCCCTGAAGCCGTCCTGGAAGTGGGCCCGGAGCTGGGCAGCTCTCTGTGGGTCTGGCTTCATTAGCGCTTCAAGCTTGGCCCTCACTTTGGGCTCCAGAGACAGAGCAGTGCTGATTTTCCCCCGTTCAATGTCCTCCACAAGTTCCTGCCAACGCTCCTATGAGATCGAGAGCATATTAGGGAGAAATGACTTGCCCAAGCCTTTATTCATAAAGCAATTAACACAAATGTTTTAATCAGTCAGTGGGAGCTAAACACCTGACTCAAGATTTCATCTTGTTTTACTAAATGATGTCCCAGTGAGAACGAAATGAGGCACATGTGAAGGACAACAACAGCCTGCTACTGCTCAATGAAACGTTGTCTCTTAAAATAAACAAGAAATAACATTGCTAATGCTTTTCTTTGAAGGATGGAATGGATGAATTACTTTACATACTTTACGGTTTCCCATTAAGTCCTGTTTTCATGCCTCTACTCACATAAAAAAGAAAGAAAAACACAAAAACAACAAAAGTAACTCATTCCTGACAAACAACTGGGTACCTGTAGGGCACTGAAGGCATAGAAAACTGTGGAGGCGAAGTTGGACTCCAGAGTTCCCACATTAGGATCTTTCAGCGCAAAAAGAAGATGCAAATAGAGCGTGTCCTTCTCACCGGGAACCTGAAGAAACATACAATTTTATTACCGAATCGGTCACACAAAGGCTGACCACTTGTTAGGCTTGCTGATTGTACCTTGAAGGCAGGTGCTGGAGTCGTGTACAGGTTTAGGATGTGGCGTGAGGAGGCTGGTGTCGAGGAGTTTGGTCCGATGGGAATTCCAGCCTCAGACTGCCGAAAAGTAGGAGTGTAAAAGAACTTGGTGGTGCGTTGAAGGCTCTTGGTCTCAGGGAATGCCTGCTGCATGGCATCTAAGCACACAGTCACTCCCTGATGGAAACACACAGCGAGTATTATTAGTAAAATTTCCTTGCGCAGTGCATGGGCTACACCGTCATCATCATCATCAAGCAGTGACTTCACCTGCAGGAAGAACTCAGTGTTGGTGTCCTTAGTGCTGAGCAGCATGGCACTGGATCCTGATGTCCCGGAGGTCATGGCCAGAATTAATGGCTTCTCTGCAATGATGAGCTTCTCTTCTCCAGCTGCGATGCGGTTGATTAGGTCTTGATAGTGCGTGTATGTAGTAATAGGATGGCATGCCTGAAATTCTTTAATATCTAGAAAATAAACAGATTTCATGATTTAAATCAAAACTGTATTGACACCTCTAATTTATCTTTCATCATTTGAGCTTATTTTAAGCACAAGTATCAAACAGTCCCCAATTTCAGCATCGCAATTCTCAGGACCTGCTGCATTGTCCGTGCCCATCAGGAACACTGGGACATTTCCCAGTATACTCAGGGTCATTTAATACCCTGGCCTGCTGTGAATAGTTTAAACAGCAACATTACAACAAGCAGAAATGAGTTGGTGGTACTCTCAGAAACCACATTCTCATCCACAGACTATATGATACTGCTGCTATATGTGCACAGGGCATAGGCAGGTGAACCATGGACACAAGTAAATGCACACTCCAGCAAGACACACAGCACGCAGCAGCTTCTATATCAAAACTATTTAAGTGAAGCAATGAAATTGTGGAGGGGAAGAGAAAGAGAAAGTCACGAGGAAGCATCTTAACTCTGTGGTAGTCAGGATAATTTTCATCTCAGATGATCATAGAAATAGTGTAGTACTTTTTACATCTATACTAAAGGTGTTGTAGTACAGGAATGAAAGGAGTGATACTAAAAAAAAATATGAATGTAACGTTAATAATACACATATAAACATAAATGATGATAGTTGTATTTGATTGCATCTGGCTACAGGTGTACAGGCTACATGTGTTTTCAGTGTCAATTATTTGACAAAAAAATGAAAAAAACATGAGAAAAATAAAAAGATTTTGACTTACAGCATTATTATTCTTCCCTCCAATATTTCCTACAAATATTACTGTAATAACATAAAATGAATTCATTTGGAAACCCTTTGGCACAACTAAATAACAAATCAGCACATGGAGTTAAGTCTACAAAACGAGCCAAATTCCACTCAATGCATGAAATGCTGTTTCAGTCACCTGTACGCTGAAAATGTCTCGGGGACATTTGTTCATTGAAAACAATAAATTTGATGACACAGGTTTAAAACAAAATAAAAAGAAATTTTAAAAAAGCTTGACTTGCTCACAAAACAATAAAAAATAAGAACAGATAAATGCAGCTTTGATTATATTTGGAAAGCAACACGTTTAAAATAGGAATCAAATCAATATGAAATTGTGATTTGTTGCCGTTATTTAAGGACTCTGGGGTCTGGTGGCAGCTGGTGGCACGAGTTTTTTCCTTTAATGTGTCACCCCGGTCTTCCCAAGCGTTAACACTGAATAAGCACAAATGTCTTCACACTACCTGCTTGCTAAACTAACGCCATCTACTTCGCTGCTTACCTTTTATTGAGCTGAAGTCGTACTGTCTTCCATAATACGTATCTGCGCTTTTACGCAAGCGCTTCAGCAGAGTCTCCTGTTGGACTTCTTTGACTTTGAGTGTGTCTGCTTCAAGTTTCCTTCTCTGCCGCCTGCCCAGCCAGCCTACAACCTTCACCGCTACATGCTGGCTCAGAAGGCTACTTAACGTCCGGTTTTCAACCTTTATCTTCAAGATTAATGCCATCCCGGCCACAGAGCACAAACCGATGACAGCGGGGAGAGGGGTCGGCATGGCTGTTACACAAGACACACAAAAACACAGAGGAGCCAGGTGGGGCGCTGTTAGTCAGCATTAGACCGTTACTTTTCTTCTCATTTACAAACAAGAGTACGCAGTCTACCGTGAAAGTGCGCAATCCTGTCGAGACAAGATGGTTTTTATTTCGCTATTTCGTGCACTCATTCACCGCTTACCGGGAATCTGTCCGCTGATGGCCAGGGCGACCGATGAAACCGCAAAACAAAGCGGAAGTGCAACGCGAAACCAAGAGGAAGACATCTTGAGCATTAAATAAGATGTGACGTCCCCGTGGTTATAATAATTAATGTCTATAAAAAGCCTTTGGACTGCATTTCCACGCCCAAGAAAGCATGTCAACTTTTACTTTCGCCGCTGTCTGTGCTGCTTCCGTATTTGGGTCAGAACTAGACGCTGATTGGTTTGACTAAATCATGACGTAATAAACCTGGAAATACCAACTAAAAAAAAACAACAACTTATATTTTATTTATCTGTTTTTGCTTTAAATGTAGCACCACTGCCTGGATAATGCTATAGCGTCCGTGGTTGTGATTGCACAACAAAGACAATCAATCTGCAAGTTCGATTCTTATTAAATATTTCTTACATAAAACACGGAAGTGTGAGGGTTTGTGGACATATATACTACCAGTCAAAAGTTTGACCACACCTCATTTAATGTTTTTCTTTATTTTCATGGCTATTTACATTGTAGATTCTCACTTAAGGCATCAAACTATGAATGAACACATATAGAACTATGTAGTAAACAAAAAACTGTTTTATATTTTAGATTCTTCCAAACAGCCACCACTGTTTCAGTCCCTGAAACAGTCACATGGGGGAAGGGGGGCACACCTACACACTGTAAAATAGTTTCAGAAAACTGTGAAGAAGTCCATGATTTTCAAAAATGTCTTATCTGTGCTTCAGCATAAAACAGCATTTTCTGACTGTCAGGATTTTGCATCTTTCAGTCTAACGTGCTTATGTATGTCAGATATGTTACACAAAAAATATACAAAAAAAGGACCCTGGGATGACACCCCGATGTCAGGTGTCTGCCTCCTGCTGGTTCCAGTGCCCAACGTCGTACAGGAACGTAAACAGCAGTGAGGTTTGTGGGGTTACTGAAGTTTGGTTAGCTGGTATATAATGATGTGCTATGTCATAGGTGTCAAACTCTGGCCCGTGGGCCAAATTTGGCCCGCAGCTTAATTACATTTGGCCCGCGAAGCCATGCCAAATTACTATCAGAGCTGGCCTACTGGTATTACACAGCTAATATATATATTGTTTAGTATTAAGCTTTGCTTGTTCCATATTCAGTTTTTCAGCAAAACGTGTTTGAGTCCATAAGAAAAGATTCATTCTTATATCTGGAGGAAGTATTTTTTTAAATAAATATTAACGTTAGCCCGCGACTTTGTTCCATTTTTGAATTTTGGCCCACTGTGTATTTGAGTTTGACACCCCTGTGGTATGTGATCGCTAGCGACACAGCTATGTTAGCATAATATAAACAGTGAAGCTGGAGGACTCAGTCGCTAGATGACGTCATCGCCTAATTTGCATAATTGGTCATATAATTATAAAGGACCCTGTAGGAGAGAGAAATAACATGATGGAAGAGACATAAAGTCAGTAAAAACACCCTAAAACCATTTAGTATATATTTAAAACCACACATTAAATTTCTTTATCCGGACTTTAACAAACTACATTAATCAAAAATGGACATAGCAAGCATCACCAGACAGCTTCAGTCAAAATTGGATGTAGAAGATGGAGGTAAGGCTCTGCAAGGACATCCGATTTCTAAGTTAGCAATAGAATAGAATAGAATAGAATAATCCTTTAATTGTCCCACAAGGGGAAATTTGGGTGTAACAGCAGCAAGAAAGACACATACAAACAAACAGTACACAAGACACAGAACAGAAACATACACAATTTTTACATATTTACATCAAGGACAAGGGTTACCAAAAACAGAGTACTGTACCGTTATTAAATTAAATAAAATTAAATACAGATAAGAGGCAAACCCTGCTTATAGTGTGAATGGGTTGATAAAATAGAGCAAGTTACAGCGCTGATGTAAAACTCTGTTTGTTGGGAGCAGTTTTGATTGTACAGTCTGACAGCTGCAGGGAGGAAGGACCTGCGGAAACGCTCCTTCATGCATCTAGGATGTAGCAGTCTGTCACAGAAGGAGCTCTGCAGTTCAGCAACATTTACATGCATGGGGTGGGAGACTCTGTCCATCAGAGATGTTATTTTGGCCAGAGTCCTTCTGTCTCCCACCAACTGCACTGGGTCCCAGAACAGAGCTGGTCTTCCAAATGAGTTTATCCAACCTCTTCCTCTCAGCTGCCGATAAACTGCTGCTCCAACATACAACACTGTAAAAAATGACAGATGCCACCACAGAGTCATAGAAGGTCTTTAAAAGCGCTAGCTGGACTCCAAATGACCTCAGCCGCCTCAGCAGGTAGAGTCTGGTCTGTCCCTTCCTGTAGAGAGCATCAGTGTTGTGGCTCCAGTCTAGTTTATTATTCAGGTGAACACCCAGGTACCTATATGTAATGTATGTTTGCACTGATTGCCGATCACGCTTCAACTGAGTCCTCCTCGGTCAGAAGGAATGGTACTCCACAGTGATGTAGTTCAAATAACTTTAATAAGGAGGTGGCAGATGACATCAACAGGATGTACAGCGTTGGCAGGGAGGCAATTGCATCACAGTATTCACATGCAGGTAAAGGGGGTGTGAGTATGTATATGGGTGTGTGTGGTCATCTGTAAACAGAAAGAACAAACATTTGTATTAACCACTATGGATAGCAGTGTACCCCTTATACAGTACTGTGGGTTTCCAGCGTAATGTTATACAATCTGCCATAACCTCATGGCCACTAGAGGGCACCCTAAGACCATAAATGAATTTCTGGCTCGTATATACATTGGCAAACCAGACCTCTGCAGATTACAACGATTCAGAGGATAAACATAGTAAATAGTTACATCCACCTACAACCACAATGCTTGACAGTAAGTCGTATATGGAATGAAATATGGGCTGAACACAAGGCTGCCTGTAGTAGGCCAAAAAAACGCATCTTAGCGATAGCAACGGGACTAGCTTCTCACGTAGCAAATTACACAGATAAAGTCAAACAAGCATCACTCTCATCTTACAATACTCACATGGTAAGCACGCACACAGTATTAACTCACACGGGAATGCAAGTAAATACGTTACTCCTCCGACACCCCTCTCATCTGTGCAGAACTGCGCTGAACACGTTCCCAACCGGAAGTACAGATACCGAGGTGCATCATGGGTAACGTAGTATAAAACAGCTACAGTAAACAAGCGGACTTTTAACACTATAAGAGTCCACTATCTCAATGTCCACTCCCTGGATGTTCACCGGTGTCAGTGTGGTGGGTCTGCGTCTCCGGAAGTCCACCACCAACTCCTTGGTTTTCCCGGCATTGATCAGCAGGTGGTTCTGCTGGCACCAGTCCGCAAAGTCCAGAGTGTACTGTCTGTACTCTGAGTCGTCCTCACCTGTGATGAGGCCAGCTATGGCAGTCGTCAGAGAACTTCTGTAAGTGGCTAGCACAGTTCCCTGTGGGGCCTTCATACTGCAGACCAGCGTATCAGAGACACAGCCCTGTGTCCTCACATACTGTGGGCGTTCTGTGAGGTAGTCCAGTATCCACTGGGACATGTGGTGGTCCACTCCCGATAGCTCCAGCTTGTCCCTCAGAAGTCGTGGCTGGCTGGTGTTGAAAGCACTGGAGAAATCAAAGAACATGATCCTTACAGTGCTTCCAGGCTTCTCCAGGTAAGTCAGAGCTCGGTGCAGGAGGTAGATGATGGCGTCCTCCACCCCAATGCCAAGCTGGTAAGAAAACTGCAGCGGATCCAATGAAGACCTCACCAGGGGGTGCAGATGGCTTAGAAGCAGCCTCTGGAGGGTCTTCATCAGATGTGATGTCAGGGCTACCTACCTGAAGCTGCTGAGGTTCTTGGGATGGGAGGTCTTTGGTACCAGTACCACACAGGAGGTCTTCCACAGCTGTGGATTTTTCCCCAGCGACAGGCTCAGGTTGAACAGATGATTGGAATGGTGTATTTTAATGCATTGATTTATTTTAAACAAAGCAATGTACAACTACCGCTTCTTCCGACCTGCGTTATAGTCAGTGCGGGAGCAGCGGCTTCGCTCATGCGCAATTAATTTGCAGTTTGGACGCGTAGGTGTAAACACCTGCTCTGACAGCAGCTGGGGGTTACTGCTGCGTTAGGACCGCCGCCTGTGAGTGCTTTGGCACGGGCGAGGTGCCCACGGCAGCTCCCGCTGCTTGTAAGAGCGATACGTGCTTTCACGTCAAAAAAGTCGTAATAAGACTCCAATAACACCAGAAAAAGTCACCAGATTTGTTGCTTTTTAGAGAAAAAAGTCAATAAGGGGGTCTGAAAACTCGCTAGATGTAGCGACAAAGTCGCTGCCGTTAAGTCCTCCGTTATTTGTTTAGCTAAACAAGTAACTTAACACTGGGTTACAGCCAATGACTGTATACAGTCATTGGTTACAGCACCATAGCAGTATATACAAAAAATACAAGCCTCCGTTATTTATTTAGCTAATATGCTAGTAGCCAATGTGCTTTAAGCTAACTTGGCTTCCCACCATCTTACATTTGTAAATAAAAATACAAAGAAGTTACCTTTAATACCTTCGACTAGTATAATTTCACTCCACGTTAACAGGATGGCTCTTTAGACAAGCGCTGTTGTTCAGTCCGGAGCTTTCTATGTAAGAGCAAGCCGTAAAACTTGAAAACAAAAAGTAAATAATAAAAAAAAGGAGAGTGTGTTGTTTGTTAATTGTCGCGGGCCCGCCGGTGCTCGACGGTGAGACATCGGGGCCGTATCCCAAGTGCGGTTGCACCCTGAGTTTTTTCCTGTCTGAGTTGCCATTCCTCGATAACAGCAGGTTAATATTAAGGTTAGCTTAATGGTTAATACTAACGTTCAGGGAGGTGGAGGTTCAAAACGTTTTGTGATGTCACAGCCCGTGTGCCTTTGAAGTCTTACAACGTGAGCTCATAAATACCCCCAAGGTAAGGCACTCTACTTTACTGCACCTAGTGTTTTAACGTTGAATCGATAGTCGTCTGCAAATATATGGCGCTCAGTCTTCAGTCATACAAATTCTTCAGACACTGATGGCTTTGAGGAGCTTGACAGATATTATTTAGAGCCTGATGGGTTCTTCTTACCGATATCTATTTCCAGAGATGAACAGTCTGAGGTTCCTAAAACCAGTGTTTCTGTAAA